AGGGTCGGCAAAACCTGCGGCCACTGGGAGCGTGGCCACAAGTTAAGCTGGTGAGCAGCATAGCGAACAGTGAACGACCACAGAAAATGGGGGGCATCGGCATGAATCATGGAGGTACGAGCAACCTCCATGACTAAGCCGATGCGGTGCTCAGCAACCCCATTCTGCTGTGGTGAGTCCGGCAAGGTGTACGACTAGGTGATGCCCTCCACACGACAGAACTGGCCAAGCCGCCCAGAGGCGAACTCGCCGCCACGGTCAGAATGGAGACACAATACGGGAAGACCGCGGTGAAGACGCGCAGCCACAACCCACGGGAGAAGAACGTCGGGCACGTCGGCCTTCCGCTCCAGGGGAAACACCATGGTGTAGCGCGTGTAGTCGTTGACGAGCACAAGGAAGTAGCGCTCACCGCGCGGTCCGGGGACGGGGGCTCGGCCCCAAACGTCCAGGTGCAGGGTCTGAAGGGGGGTAGTAGCAGGGCGAAGCTAGGAGGAGTAAGGGGCACGGCGGAGCCGGCCCTCGACGCAAGGCGTGCACGGTGGAGCAGTCGAGGGGGGAAGGGCGGGAAGCGACGCGGGGAGGCCCAAGACAAGACCGTGCTGAGACATGTGATGCAGCCGCGGGAGAGCAGGGTGACCTAAGCGGTGGTGCCACAAAAGGGACGGGTGAGTGAGGGACCGACACGAGCAAGTTGCAGCGACCTGGGAAGACGCACCAACCGGGGGGGAAGCGGTGTCAAGGGTAAACAGATCGGACACCGGGTCCCGGGGGAACGTCGCAAGGGGGAAACCTGAGACAGCCTCGGTACAGACAGCGAACCGCTCGTGCCCAGGGAACGTAGTGGTGACGCCGAGGTCCTGAACACAGCCGACACCAACCAGGTTCCTGGAGAACGAGGGAATGTGGAGGCCTGTAAGAGAGCCCGAGGGAACGGCTGGACAGGGAAGGGAAGTGGAGCTGCGAGCGACGACAGGACCCGCAGAGGGGTCAGCGAGAGCGATAACAGCAGGCGCAGCAAGCGGCGTGAGCGATGAGCGGTCGCGGAAGAAACAGGCAGAAGCACCGGAGTCGAGAGTGAAGGACAGCGAGGCAGTAGTGGAGGCCGAGAACGGAGCCGGTACAGAAACTAGGCTAGGCAAACTAGGCAGTCCAATGCCTGACGCAGCAGGGGAGGCTGAGCTAGACAAGGGTGCTACGCCTAAACTAGAGTACATTGGGTAATAAGATCCAGCAACACTAGAAGCGTCAGCATAAAAGGCATGCAAAGCAGCACCTATCTGATCCATATCTAACTCAAAGATCGGCACGCCCTGGCGAAGTAGGTTGTGCCAGTCGGGGAGGTCCGGGGCTGGGCCAAAGCGACGACAGAAGAGATCGTCGAGGTGGCGGAAACAGCGGGCGGTCGGATGCGGGCGGCGGCACAGAGTGTCACGGAGAGGCCCGGTCTGAAGTTGGTACTGGCAAGTGACACCAACGGAGCTGCCGGTAGACGCCAAGCTGCGCGAGCCGCCACCACAGCCACCACCGACGGAGGTGCCCGGCCAACCCGGCGGGAGACGAGCCCACGGCGGGGGCTGAGACAGCTGCTGCGACGACTGCGACTGCTGCGACGGCTGCTGCGGCTGCTCCTACAGCTGGGGAGACGGCTGCTGCTCCTGACTAGCTGCGGCAGTCCCCTCAGTAGAACCACTGTCCCCGGCACCACCACCACCACCAGCTCCACCACCATGCCCTCCCTGGCGGCCACGGCCAGCGCGGCGCGGTTGTTGCTGCGGGTGGGCCGCTCGGTCAGAGGGGTCGCAGTGGCGACCGCAGCCGAAACGTCATTAAACGTGCACAGGGAGGGGGTACAGCCATGAAAGATAGAGACTGCCAGCGCATCGCTCGACTGAGCGATAGTGCGCTGGCGAGTCTCGATCTCGGTCAAGGCGGTGACAAAGGCTGTCAGGGTGAGATCACCAGGGTGCTGGCGAAGGATGTGGTTGCGTGCACTAGCAAGGCGGTCAGGCAGGCACATAGCGATAAAGTAGAGGGTCATGCAGAAGGGGGGGGGGGGCGCAGTGAGCTGGGCAGCAGTGCTGGCAGTGCGGTAGCGAGACTCTAGGGCTCGCAGGTGAGTGGCAAGGTCAGCAACAGTAGGGAAGGAAGCCAGGCCTGGGAAAAGCATAGGGAAGAGCAGGCAGCCGGCAGTAGCGGAGGCATGTGTGGAATAGCGAGCAACAACAGCATGTAAGTAAGCCTTGGCTGTATCAACTGTAGCGAAACGCGAACGTTCAGACACAGGGAGGGCGTGACTGATAGCAACCTGAGCAATTGCATCGCGAGAGTCCCAGACGGCACAGGAAAGTGCAGCAGCAGATAAAGTCTCACGCTCAGCAGAGGTGGGATAAGCAGGGAGGGGAGCAAGCTCAGGGGGGCGGGGGAGCAAGCCATCAGTATGGACAACCAAGGAGTGCCCATCCTGGCGCTGACCTGTGAGTTGACGGCGGAGGTCGGACAGCCAGGCGGCGAAGTCAACCGCGTGGCCCTCAGCTTCCAGGCGGAGGACGAAGTCAGCAATCGTGCAGGGTCAGCGATACGGGGACACAGCGGCACAGCTCCGGGAGGACGTCTGCAAGACGCTCCAGCGCGGGGAAGCAGAAGTCACGGGGTAGAAGAGTCGAGGAACCGTGCCGAGCAGAAGACACGGGGCCGCAGGAGCCGGGCGTGCACTGGGAGCTGCGGACCGCAGGAGCTGTGCAGGCGAGTCGGGGCCGGGATGGCGCTAGGAGGGGCCGGGCAGGCGCTAGGAGGGGCCGGGCGGGCGCTAGGAGGGGCCGGGTTGGCGGTAGGAAGGGCCAGGCAGCGCTAGGAGGGGCCAGGCGGGCGCTAGGAGGGGCCGGGCGAGCGCTAGGAGGGGCCGGGCGGGCGCTAGGAGGGGCCGGGCAGGCGGGCGCTAGGAGGGGCCGGGTGGGCGCTAGGAGGGGCCGGCCGGGCAGGCGCTAGGAGAGGCCGGGCGGGCGCTGTGGGGCGGGCGGGTGCCACGGGCCAGGCGGGCGCTAGGAGGGGCCGGGCGGGCGCTGGGGGCCAGGGTGGCGCGGAGGGGCCAGGCGGGTGCGACGGGGCCAGGCAGGTGCGACGGGCCGGGCGGGTGCTACGAGCCGGGCGGGCGCGACAGGTGCTACGGGCAGGCGGGCGCTGTGGGCCGGGCGGGTGCTACGGGCCGGGCGGGCGCTAGGGGCCAGGGTGGCGCGGAGGGGCAAGGCAGGCGCGACGAGGCCAAGCGGGCGCTTAAGGGCCGGGCGGGCGCTAGGGGCCAGGGTGGCGCGACGGGGCCAGGCGGGCGCTTTAGGGCCGGGCGGGCGCTACAGGCCGGGCGGGCGCTACGGGTTGGGCGGGCGCTACGGGCCGGACGGGTGCGAGGTCTAGGTAGGGGGGGGAAATGCTAGGGCCCGGGCGGAAGCGGGCGGGTGGACCTAACCTACTCGCGATACCATGTTAGAATGCAAGAATGGCTCACTAGTGTGAGAAACCTAGAACATCTACCTGTTGGGGTTGTACTCACTAGAAGCACACACCTGGGTTAGCCTATAACTTCTACATATAGCATATGTATAAGTTGACATTCTATTCTCGACCTCTTTTCTGTCGTCAAATTTATCCTAGCTAAACCCTCTAGCCATTTTCATGGCTTCCTAGCTACCTAGCTCTCTTGACATTTCCTTGCCTGCTCTTTCATATTCGCTAGCGTAACTATATACCAAGCATTTTACACTTTGTCGGATCCTAGAATTATGAGATTCGGGCTTTAAACGATCCCTTTAGACATTTGCGCTACACACCAGCCCTTTATGTGTTGCGCACGTTAAATTATAGTAGGCACTAGTAGATATTAATTTTGCCTATATACTATTTGAGTAAACCTTTAATATGTACAATAGCCTAAAGTTTCAGAATTTTCTTAGTCTTGTTTGCTGTAACATCCTATGTTTTTTACATGCTATCATGACTAAGAACACACATATATACGTTGTCATATGGCCATCGGCACGCGCAAATGCATTGTTGTAAGTGGGGAATGAGGTGAATAATTGAATGAGAGTCTTGGAATGATGAAAAGGGGTATGTACCACAAGCCTAAGCACATACTCCTTTCATGCACCCTTGTGTTCTGTATGGGTTTCAAATTAGTTACAGTAAAATTCCAGTCTTTCCTAATCTGGTGATCAGTACAACCTCGGTGTGATTAAATTGATTTCTTGGCTTTAAGCAATTTCCGAGCCTATTCTCACAATTACTTCACACCGTCCGCATTCCGGAATGACGGCCCACCGATCAGGGCCGTGGTGAAACGAATCGCACGGTCAGTTTCTCCTAATCATTCCACAATCCCCAAACCAGAAGGCATCCGTTCCACCGCCAGGTGTCCGGAATTGTACTTCGGATGAGATTCCTACTGTGTTGGGTGGGGATGGGGGAAAGCAGCAAGGCTTATGCTAGAAGGGTAGCTACCCTGAATGTTGAGATTTTAGGGTTGTTTGGACTCCGAAACCGAATTCGGGATGGGAACTCGTCGAGTTCCCCGACACAATACAGAACAGTGCAGTAGCACTCGCATCGCAAGCCCACCCCAGGTGATTGTTCAAGGGCAGCAGCGCCTTCGCCCTCAGGCCGACCTGCACAGTGATTGAGGGAATCCCTCATGTGATCCCTCCCATCCATGATCCATCCCATGCCACGCTGACGACCGCAAACACACATCCATCCGTCAATTTCAACCACACCTTTCCTTCCCAGTCCCTTCCCCACTCCCTCCCCCACTCCTTCCCCAACTCCTCCTCCCACTCGTTCTCCCACTCCTTCCCCCATTCCTTTCCCCACTCGCTCTCTCACTCCTCCGCCCCATCCCGCTACGATTCTCCTCCTTCCCTGGCACGCTTCCCACTTACGGGCTGCAATCCAACCTCCTCACCTCATCCGTCCAACCAACAACCTTATGTGGCGTTTGTTTGCTCTGTGTATGTAGTGAGTCAGAGTCGGGTTCATTCAGTTTGCTAAATTGCCGCGCAGTGAGCAGGCGTGCATGTCGCATTGCAAGCTTCTAAGATCACAAATGCCGAATGCCGGCCTTTGAGCAAGTCGCGTGCCATTACGTGGGAGCCCACATTTTTGCGTTTCTCGAACACGGGCATTCATTCCACATCCTTAGTACTACACAATCCACCTGGATCAAGTTAGCCTTCTCTTCCGAAATCGAGAATGCTACATGTCTTTAAACTGCGACTCGTTTACCAGCATGGTAAGGAAAAACTCGCCTACTCCCTTCCAGCTGTGGCACCAGCAGTGCAGAATGCGCCTAAGAAACGGCGACATTGACAGCAGCCTCCAGCGGCTGGGATGTGGGGACGCCACGTGGAGCGGCAGATGAGCTGTAATCCGATGTGCTCCCTCCTGGCACCTCGTCTCCTCCTCCTCCTCCTCCGCTCACCATTCGATGGCTCACAGCCCCACCCTCCTTTCCCCGCATTCAATCATCGCGCCATCAGCGCCATCAGCGTCCTCCCTCTGCGATCCCTCCCGTCGCATCACAGATACTAAGAGCCTCTCTGACCTCTCTGACTTCCAGGCGGCCACAGATAGACAAGACCAGTGCAGCATTGCCGCCAGTTCAGCGACACAGCTTAGCGGATCTCCGGATTTTAGGTCACGCGAACGCAGCGACATCAGCCGCAACGACATCAGAGGCAGCGACATCAGCCGCAGCGACAGGTGTAGTAGCACCAGCGACCATCTTCGAGCGACGCTAATGGACTCCGCAGATAGTCCCCCTGGTCCCACCCCACCTGGCCCGCACCACCACTCCTCCCACAGCAGCGGCAGCATCAATACCAGCGGCAGCTCCGCCTACCCAGGCGGAGGCGGAGGCAGCTCCGCGCTAGGCGGGCGGCGGGGCAGCAGCAACGACTTGCTAGTGGCGGCGCTGTCGGTTTCCGCCTCTTCCTCTTCCGCTGGCCCCAGCTCCCCCCGCCTCTTCCCCCAACATCTCGCGATAATGCAGCGCCGCCGCAACCAGTCCCCCTCCTCCTCCCCCGGCCCTCCGACAACCATACGCGCAATGGGCCCCCCTCCCCCGGCGCCTCTTTTAGGGGAAACCGCAGAGCTTTCCGGGCGAAGTAGCAGCAGCTTAGGTGGCGGTAGAGGTGGTGGCGCCGACAGCGGAGGCGGAGGCGGAAGCGGAGGCGGAAGCGGCGGAGGCGGGGGTCCTGTTCTCACGCGCTCTCGGTCGACTAACTCCCCATCGTCATCGCCCATCCACCCCGTGTATTCCGCCGCGAATCCCGTTCCCAATTACCCCCCTCCTCCGTCCACCTCCTCCCCGCCCCTCTTTGCGGCTCCTTCCGCCAATGCTCCGCCGTCTGGCGCGCTTCCGGGCCCCGCGCTTCCCCCGCTGTCGTCGTCGCACGCGAGCATGTTCGTGGGGCAATCGCGCGCCATGATGATGCTGCTGGACCGTTGGACGGGACGCGTCGTACAGGTATGACGTGGCGTGTCGTGTGGTTGCCACGTGCCATGTGTGGCGACGGCAAGTCGAGCGAAGAGTCTTATTGATTGAAAAAGGACAGTCTAGATCGGAAGAAAGGCCTGCTTGCGTTATAACGGCTGTAGCAACAAGGGGAAAAAAAAAGAAAAAAAAAAGAGGAAAAAGAAAAAGAAAAAGACCTCGAGGCGTGTGCCTCGTTCATTACGTGTCTCCTTCTCACTCTTCCCCAATCCTTCCTCTCTCCTCGACCCCTTCTTCTCACTCACTTCGCGAATCTGTCTTCCCGATTCTTTAATCCCTTCCCACTCCCTCGCCCCCTTCCGTCCCCTCCCGTTCTCTCCTCACTCCCTCGTCCCTCGTCCCCCCTCCCCCTCCCCCCCCGCCCCCCAACCTCTGCCCCCCGCCAGGCGAGTGGTTCGGCGGTGGCGGCGGTGGGCATGAGCCGCGAGCAGCTGGCGGACGTGTCGCTGCTGGACGTGGCGCAGGGCGTGCGCATGGCGCAGTGGCGCACGGCCGTCGCGGACGTGTTCGCGGGGGGAGAGGGGGGCGCTGCTGTTCTGCGGTGAGGAGGGCGTGGGGCGGGTGGGGGGAGGGGGGGAGGTTACGGAAGTACTGGGGTTGAGGTGCTGATTTGCTGGGTTGAGGCGGGGGGGAGGGGAAGGGGGGGAAAGATGGGGAGGGTAATGGAAGTAGAGGGGGAACGGTTGTGTGGGAGGGGAATGCAGGGAGCGGGAGGGGTGGGGGGGAGAGAGGAAGCGTGGTAGGGGGATGGTGGACAAGGGAGGGGAGGGGAGTGAGCGAGAGAGTGGTGAAACGGGGCAGGGGAAGCACTGGGCGAAGCACAGAAAGGGATGCGATGCAGGTTTCAGTGACTTGTATGACTTGTATGTATGCAGTGTTTTGTTCTGTAAATAGAACACCAAGAAGCACAGTTGCTGTAGTAACTCATCATACCACTTGGCTTTTGCCCCAGGACCCACTCGCCGTGCCCTCCCGCGGCCCGCCCGCCTTTCCATTCCCAGTCTCCTCCTCCTCGTTTTGAGGTGCCTCAAAACTTTCCATTCCCAGTCCCCTCCTCCTCTCTCCTCCCGTGACCCGTCCTCCCCCCCTCCTCGCCCATCCTCCCTCCCCCCTCTTCCCCGCCTCACCCTAGCAACTCTTTACTGCATGCCCCTTTTCTTATTTCAAGCCCACGGTCTGTCTCAGCCTCATCCTCTTTCTCCTCTGTTTGCCCTTGCCTCTCTCTCCACCCACTCACTGCCATCACCATCGTCTCCCTCCCTCTCTCCCTCTCTTTCCCATACCCAATACCCTCTCTCCCCCCCCCCACCGTTCCCGTCCACGCGTTCCCCCCACCCACGCGCCAGCTTCTATTTTTGAGGCGCCTCACGCATAAAAAATAGACTCCCCACGCATCGTTTCCGTCCACGCGTTCCCCCCACCCACGCGCCAGCCTCTCGCCGCCCTACTCCCTGCGGGGCAATCTAGCGGGGCACATTACAGTGTGGACCTCACGCTGCAGCTGCAGGCCTGCGTGCTGGTACTCGACCCCCCGGACGTCATCGGCACCCTTCACCTAACCCACTACTTTCTCTTCCCTCCCCCCTTCCTCCCTACTCTCCCCTCCCCTCTCTCCCCCCACGCGCCAGCTTCTCCCTGCCGGACTCCCTGCGGGGCAATCTAGCGGGGTACAGCGTGGACCTCACTCTGCAGCCCTGCCGCCCCGTGCCCGACCCCCGAGCCGTCATCGGCACCCTCGCACTCGTCCGCTCCTTCCCTGCTGCTGCTGCTGGTGCTGCTGTTGGTGCTGGTGCTGGTGCTGGTGCTGGTGCTGGTGCTGGTGCTGGTGCTGGTGCTGGTGCTGGTGCTGGCACGGGCGCTCGTCTCCCTGTGCCTTCGTCTTCTGGCCGTGGCAGTGGTAGTGGTGGCAGTGGTGGTGGTAGCGTGGCTGTACCATGTGCAGTCAGTGTGGACTCTGCTGCTGCCCTCGCTGCCATGGCCAATCGCCTCCCCACCATCCCAATCAGTATCAGCGCATGCTCGGACGATAACGACGATCCGGACTCCACTCCTGCTGCTGCTTCTGCTGCTGCTGACGGTGCTGCTGGTGCCGGTGGTTCGGCAGTAGGTGGGTCAAAGAAGCTCATGCGGAAATTCGCATCGCTTCTCTCGGCAGGAGGAAAGCCGCCGTCCCGCCTAGCCTCGTCCCCAGGCTCGGATAGCGGAGGCTCGACACCACTGTCTCTCGTGATTTCCGACCCGACCTTTGACAGCGGTCCGGACAGTGGGGGGAGCAGCAAGGGAGGGGACTTAGAGGGCGGTCCTGGTGCTGGTGCCGGTGGTGGGGGAGGAGGGAGGGAGGGAGGAGGGAAGGAAGGAGGAGGAGGGGGTGGGTGGTGGGAGCGACACGGGTTTGAAGTGCAGACGCCGGGAAGGCGGTTAATTCGGCGGTGGGGGTCAGTGGGGGGAAGTGGAGAGAGGGGAGCATCCGGAAAGGAGGCCACGACCCCCTCCTCCTCTCACTACTCCATTTTCTCCAATCGCCCCCCTCCTGGGGGCAGCGCAGAGAAGCAGAGGGGAGGAGGAGGCGGCGGAATTGGAGGGGGAGTGGGAGGAGAAGGGGGGGCATCCCCCAGCCATGCGCCTGTCCCTGCCCCTGCCCCTGCCCCTGCCCCTGTCCCTCCCCCTGCCCCTTTCCCTGTTCCTGCTCCCGTTCCTGCTCCTGTTCCCGCCGCTCCTGTGCCTGCTGCTGGAGCGCTGTTCCCACGGCGCCGCCGCTCACACTCCCGAGGGGCTTCGCTGTCAGATAGTGAGGGGTCTCGCCTCATGCAGGTGTCGTTTGGTCCTGGGTACGAGAAGGGGGGAGCGGCAGAGGGAGGGGGAGGGGGAGGAGGTGGAGAGTGGGGAGCAGCAGCCGCAGCAGTTGCTGCTGGTGCTGCTGTTGGCAACACTTGCAGCAGCCGTGCAAACAGCAGCAACAACGGCACCAGTGCTAGCAGCAAATGGCAGGAGGAAAGTCGAGGTCAGGGAGGGAGTGGTACACTGGCAGGGGGAGGAGGAGGTGGGGTCGGAGGAGGAGCAGCAGGAGGAGGAGGAGGAGACGACTCACCCGTGCTCCTCAATCTCCCCCCCTCCTTCGTCAGGCGCAGCAGCAGCACCGGCAGCTCCCCAGGTCTCCGCCCTTCCCTCCCCCACGGGCCCCCATCACTGAAGCACAGCCTGAGCCTCGTTATCCCCACAGGCGGGGATGACGACAGGGGCGAGGGAGAGGACGAGGGGAGCGAGAGGGACGAGAGTGTGGGAGAGTTGGGGGATGCAGGAGAGGGGACGCCAGGGGATGACGGGGCGGATGGAGACGGGGGAGTGGGGGGAGGGGGAGCGGCGAGAGGGTCGGGATTCAAGCCTCCGTTGGGAATAGGAGGCATGGGCGGAGCAGGAGGCGCAGGCACGGGAGCGACAGGCACGGTAGCGATAGGTACGGGAGTGATAGGCACGGGAGCCGGGCCAGGCATGGGAGCAGGAGGAGGGGGAGGAGGTGCGGAGCGGTCGTCTCGGCCAGCACGGAGGCGGTTCATGGAGGTGCAGACCCCAGGCAGGGCCATGTGGCGGTCCTCCTCCTTCAAGAGCGGCCGCGACAAGGACAAGGAAGATGCAGCGGCAGCGTCCCTGGCGCTGGCTGAATCCCTCAATCTGTCTGCGGGGGCCGCACCACTTTCTGCTGCATCCCTGTCGGCTGCATCGCTGGCTGCGGCGCCGCTGTCTGTGGGCATTGCAGGGGACCTCATCCACGGCACGTCGGCTCCCAGCAGCCCTAGGGCGAGCAAGGTGGTTAGCCTGGCTGGCGGGCATGTGTGGGGCGCTGCTGTGGCGGTGGGGAGGAGCAGCAGCGGGGAGGGGATCGGTGCAAGCAGCGCCGGTGGTGGCGGCGGCGGTGGTGCCGGTGCTGGTGCTGGTGGGTTTGGTGATGCTGCTGGTGGCAGGTTGAAAGGAGGCCGAGGGTCCGAGAAGGAGCGGGCACGGCGAGCGAAGAAGGGAGGAGGGCTTGCAGACGAATGGGGCGACTTGGGAGGAGGAGGGGGAGGGGGAGGAGGCGGGAAGGGAGTGGGGAGCAAAGGGGTGGGCGGAGGGAGGTGGTTAGCCCCAATGAACGCGCTCTTCTCCAACAAGAGCAGCAGCAGCGACAGCAGCAAGGGCGCAGGCGGGGGGTTCCCGGGGATGCCCAAGCCGAAGAAGCTGATCAAGGGCAACTGGGACATGTGGGTGTGTGAGGGCTGGGACAGCATTGCTGCTGGGGACATTGACCTCTCCGCTCCTCCAGGGGCAGCAGGGGCAGCAGGGGCAGGAGGCGCAGCAGGGGCAGGAGGAATAGATGGGTTTGGACTTGGAGCAGCAGGAGGAGGAGGAGGTGGGGGAGGGGAAGGCAAGAGGCATAGTTTCTCGCCGTTTCCCCCCCGCCTGCACATGGCTGCGGCGCCAGACGAGCCTGTGCGCAGCAGGAGTGCGGGGCGCACCGGGCTGAGGCACGAGGCAGTCACTCCCGGGCCCAGGGCCAAGGGCAGGAGCCTGTGGGGCTCCGAGAAGGGAATCGGCGCTGCTGCTTCTGCTGCTTCTGCTGCTGCTGCTCTTTCCGCTGGAGATCTGATCGCCCCTGTCCTTGGTGGTGGTGGTGATGGTGGTATTTCCTTGGCCTTAATTGCTGATGCTGCTGCTGATTTTGCTGGTGGTGCTGGTTCTGCGGTGGGTGCAGCGGATGCAGCTGGGGATCGCAGGAGAATGCTGATGAAGCTGCGATCTGGTCGCAGGGGCGGGTCCCGAGGGGAGATGGACTATGCTGCATGGAACCTGCGGGCGGCAGGCGAAGGGGACGGGGGCGATGCGGAGGGGAAGGTAGCAGCGATCAAGGGCAACGAGGAGGGTAAAGTTGGATGGGAGGGGGCAGGAGAGGCGGCTAGGGAGCGCGATGGGGGGGATGGCAGTGGCGGGAAGGCAGTGGGGGAGGGCGGGAAGGGAGTGGGGGATGGTGGGAAGGGCAGGGAGGGGGTGACGGACATTGAGAAGCTAGAGCCGAGGAGAATGCTGATGCGGCTGAGGTCAGGCAGGAGGAGTGGGTCCCGGGGCGACCTGGAGTTTGCTGCTCTCAGGGCCGGGGCAGCTGTGGGGCCAGGGGGATTGGGCGGGGCAGCAGTGGGGCCAGGGGGATTGGGGGTAGGTGGGCTTGGAGGGGGAGGGGGAGCAGCGGGGGCAGGAGGGCTTGCGGGAGGAGGGGGAGGAGGGGGAGGAGGGGGAGGATCGCGAGGGGGAATGGGAGGAGTGGCAGGGTCTGTAGGGGCAGGAGGAGGAGAGAGTGGGAGTGAGAAGGCAAGTGAGGAGAGTGGCAGGGGCGGTAGCAGTGGGTCTGTGGGGGATGGCGTGGGAGGGAGTAGCGAGGGTGGCGGTGTGAGTGGGATGGTGAAGGGGGAGGAAGAGAGAGACGCAGGAGGGAAGGAGGGAGAGAAGGAGAAAGATGGTGCCAAGGTGGAGAGGCCTGATCCCCGGAGAATGCTGATGAAGCTGCGGTCAGGGAGGAGGGAAGAGCTGGCCGAGAGTGCTGTTGTGCATGTGGGGAGTGAGGGGGGAGGGGTGGGGGGAAGTGCGGGAGATAAGGCAGGGAAGGGAGGAGAGGGAGGAAAGCGAGGTGAGGGAGCGCAGAATGGGGTGTCCGGGGGAGCAGTGGGAGGAAAGGAGAGGGAAGAGGTGAAGGGGTGGGCGGAAGGGGGGGGTGGTGAAGCAGCAGCAGCAGCAGCGAGGCCCGACCCTCGGAGAATGCTGATGAAGCTGCGGTCAGGGAGGAGGGAGGGCATCTTGGACGGGCTGGATATGGATGCAGGGAGGGAGAAGAAGGTGGAGGAGGGATGGAAGACGGAGGAGGGAGGGAAGAAGGAGGAGGAGTGGGTTGGGCAGGAGGTGAGCGGTAAGCAAGGGGAAGGGAACGTCGATGAGGCGAGACCAGCAGAGTTATGGAGTGCGGGCACAGGTGTTGGCAGGAGCAGGGAGAGGAGTGGGACATGCGTCGTGGAGGGCAGTGACGAGGGTGATGCGCTCGTGCTTGCGGTTGGGAGGGAGGAGAAGGAAGAGGCGACCAAAGCAACAGAGGCAAAGGCAGAGGCGGAGGTAGAGGCAGAGGCAGCGGATAGGAGGGTGCAGGAGCAGGAGCAGGCGAGGGAGGAGGCGGTGAGGCGCGAGCTGCAGCAAGTGGAAGACGAGATGGCAGCGCTAGAGAGCATGCTGGGCGGACTGAGAAGTATACAGGAGAAGTCCAAGGTCCTGGAGAGGGACGAGGAGAAGGAGGAGGGAAGGGAGGGGAGCGTGGGGAGGGACGAGGAGCACGGAGGGAGGGACAAGGTGAAGGGAGAGAAGGAGGAGGATGGTGGGGAGGGGAGTGAGGAAGAGGGGGGCAGTGTGGTGGAGCATGGGAGTGAGGGGAGGGAGGATGGTGACGTGGCAGTGATGCGGGATGTGGAAGCGGCAGAGGGCCAAGGGGAGGAGGCTGTTAGTGGTGCGGGGGAGGTGGAAGATGAGGAGGTGGAGGATGGTGTGGCAGGGGATAGGTTGCAGGATGATTCGAGCGCGCATGGGCCCTCGGGGTCTTCGTCGTGTGGGAGCGATGCGGCTATGTGTGCCAAGTGCATCGGTGCTGCTGAATCATGGGTCAGGTCTGTGTCACACTAACCCATCTCCATCTCTTCCCTCGCACCCCCGTCTGACTCTTTCTCTTTGCCTCTCTCTCTATCTCCAACCCTCACACTTCTCCCCTCACTTGTATAAACTTTTCTGAAGTCCCTCTCAACCCTCAACCTACCATTCCTCAATTCAAGTTCCCATCCCCCTCCTTCATCTGAGTCCCTCCTCCCACTTCCCTTTCTCCTTCCCTCTTCTCCTCCTCCTCCCTCCCTCTCACCCCTTCCCCTGCAGCAATCTCCTCTCGCAGGCATCTCTGGGCTTCGCTGTGCTGCAGCCCCCCTCTGGGCGCCTCGTGCTCGCCAACCCCACCCTGTCACTCCTGCTGGGCCTGCCCCCCTCTGCTCTCGCCCCTGGCACGAGCCTCCCTGCTGCTCTGCCTGAGACGCAACGAGCTGCAGTCCAGGTACAAGGGGGGGAGTGGGGGGCTGGAGAGGAAGAGCCACAGGCGCTGGGGCTAGGGTTGAATAAAGGGGAGGGAGATAGGGGAAAGAGTGGGAAGCAGGTAGGGAGGTGGGGAAGCATCAGGGGCGTGGGTGGGAGGGTGTATGCATGTGTTAACAAGGGCAGACCTGCATGCTTGTCTTTCAGGGTGTGTCACTCCGCTCGTGTGATCCCCAATACCTGTTTAATGCACCACTGTTGCTACCCCCCACCTCCCCCCTCCCCCCACTTCCCCAACCCCCCCCCCTTCCTCCCGTTCCCCCTCATGCCCCACCCTCCTTACCACCAGACATGGCTGGAGCAAGCTGCTGCAGGCGTCGCAGTTTCTCCTCTCACTCTCTGCGTAGACTCACCACCAATTGCATCACCCACAGGCGCGCAAGAGCCCTCTCCCACAGTTACTCTCCTCTCCGCTCCGCACCTCCTGCCCCAATCAGCTACAGCAACCCAACAGCCCCTTCTCACTGTTCTCGTGATCAAGGGCGCTGCGGTGTGATTCCACTGCCTCTTATTTCTTGTTGAGCTTTCACCTGCTTATGGTTACTACGGAGGAATATGAATTCTACCACAGGTTCAGTGCAGGTGAGTTGACATTGGCCAGTAGTTCCATTGAACGCTGAGTAGTTGAATCTAGAGGACGCCTCGATGAAGGGCACGTACGCTGTTTGCCTCTGCAGAGGGAGGAAGCGGACATTAGTTGTGAACTAGTCTAGGAGCACTACGTCATGACTTCTATTGGGTGCTTTGTCCGATTTACTAGGATAATTACAGAATATATTTAGCCTTAACGGTGCGTGACTTTCGGCTGGTTCTTCCACCTGACGAAGAACGTTCGACTGTCTGACAGATTTTGTCAATTTGTCTTCCCGCGCCTCAAGCGCCTCTTGTTGTGCGCCATGTCACCGCAACTCCCAAGCTCAGGGAAGCTGGTGGAGCCCAAGGAGGTGGTTGGTGAAAACCTTTTCGCGGTTGGCAATGTTACCACCTGAGATACCCCGTATTTCTCAGTTTCTGAAAACTTTGGCTGCAAGGGCCATCAATCTCGGAATTCGGAAAGACGTGCGTTTCATTTTGTCCACGCTGGGACAATCTTGCTGACATTTTGGGCCTTCAAGATCTTGCTGCACCCGCCGCCATTTTCCCACAAAACACCATTGTTTTCCGCCCTCGGACGCGACCTCGACCCCAACCAGGCTTGCGAAGGTCTCGCTTGCCAACGAACGAGCTTGGCCTGGCGATGCCTGCGAAGAATCCCCGTGTTGTCAGCACAGTTCGGCCGAATTGCTTCTGCTCTGCTTTCGGGCAGCTGTAGAAAAACTTTATGGCAGGCAGGCAGCCCCCAAAATATAAGGATGGTATGATAACACTCGACAATTTATTTCACAGTCGAAGTGACGGGTGTACGCAGCTGTGCCTTCCGGATTCCGAGCAGCAACTCTCCATTCTCCTCACTTTTTTCGCACGAGATCTTCGTAAGGCCAAGCGAAAGCAAAACCTATACCTTGGCGACGGTCGCCGCTTACACAGCTGCGACTTGCGAAACTCTGAACCAACATTTCTCCACACCCACCTCGTTCCTCCCGCCCCAAACCCCCCTTCCACTTCACCTGCTCTCCCCCTTCCCTCCCTCCTAGCGCCAACCTCTCCTGTGCAAGTTCTCTGGGGGGGGCATTGCTGCAGGGTCCTGATTCTCAACTCAACCCAACCACCAGATCCCCCCTTGTTTCGTCAACTGATCAGAAAATGGGAAACTCACGCCTTGTTACTTGAGGTGGGTGGATGCGCTTTGGTTACGGCTTCCGGTTGCCTGTGGCAGTACCGCCATTTTCCTCGCGACGCTCGTTATTTCACACAAGCCTGCACAGTATATATATATATAGCTGCACTGCACGATCCATGGCTGTCCCGGCTGATAGCTGCGTCGCTGTTTAGGTCAGACGTGATGGCCCTCCTTCAAACACCCAACCTCTGCCGCTTCTCGTACTGACCGCGCTGACCTCGTCCTTCACCAGCACCCTCTGCTTTAGGGTTTCCGAGCCAGCCGTCATTCCGTGAGCAGCAGTATCACCGAGGATAGGAGGGGCCAGAGCGTATCTCTAGCAGGCGATGCAAGGCGGGGGCTAGGCTAACAGGGAGGAAGGAGAGAAGGAGAGGCTAACAGAAAGGAGGAGGGGGGGGAAGCGGCCGAAGCTTAGAAAGGCGTGCCTACTGTCCGCAATAGTCATTCCTGCTTGAGTCACCTTTTGCACGCGTCTCATCATCTGTCACTACTCTCCCGTCATGACCATCCCTTAAATCCCTATCCCGTCAGTACCATCCCTTGGAAAAGCATCCGAGCCACCGCCTTACGTATTTATTCGGGGGCAGATTTACCGTCTCCACCCGTGCCGTCTCCACCCATATCAGTTCCACCCAAACCGTCTCCATCCGGGCCGCGCGGCGGCATGGTGGCGAGATGCCTGGAGGTGACGGTGGGGTCGACGTCAGGGCTCAAGGACAGCAAGTCCACGACCAAGTCGGACCCGTACGCCGTGCTGCGCCTGGGTGCCGTGCAGCACCGCACGCACACGGCGTGCTCGCAGATCTCGCGGCCCGTCTGGAACCACCGCTTCAGCTTCCTGCTCCCGGACGACGGCCAAGGCCCCATGGTACGCCTCCTCGCCTCGCGTCCACTCCTCCCTTTGAGTCGACTCAAAAGCTTTCTGCTCCCGGACAACGGCCAATGACCCATGGTACGCCTCCTCGCCTCGCCTCGCGTCCCTCTCCTCCCTCCCCTCGAGCTTTGAGGCGCCTCAAAGTACGTCTCGCCTCCCCCCCGCGCTCCTCCGCTCCTCCCCTCCCCTCGACCCTGCAACCCTCCGCATGCCTCCCCACTCCAGCCTACCCCCACCGCTCACCCACGCCACCTCTGTCCCCCCGCCCTTTTCTCCCCCGTCTCCTGCCCCCTCACAGTGTCCCTCACTCCAGCCTACCCCCACCGCTCACCCACGCCACCTCTGTCCCCCCGCCCTTTTCTCCCCCGTCTCCTGCCCCCTCACAGTGTCCCTCACTCCAGCCTACCCCCACCGCTCACCCACGCCACCTCTGTCCCCCCGCCCTTTTCTCCCCCGTCTCCTGCCCCCTCACACTGACCCCTCGCATTCTCAAGAATGAGACGGGGGCAGGAGACGGGGGAGAAAAGGGCGGGGGGACAGAGTGTCCCGTCTTTCCAGCCCCCGCTCTCCCGCCCTGCGCCGCTCGCTCGCAGCACTCACCGCCCACTCACCGCATTCTCAAGCACCGTTCCCACCCTATTCTCGTCTCTCTACCTTTCGTGCTCGTACCCTCCAAACCCCAGCCCCTGCTGCCTCCATGCACCATATTCTCCCCTCTCCTTCCCCCCTGCTCCACTCCCCCCGCGCCAAATCTCCCCCCCCCCCCCCCCCCCCTCCCCCCCCCCTCCTTCCCTCTTCCTTTCCCCGTCCCCCCCTCCCCAACCCCCCGCGCCCGTCCCCCCAGGACCTGCACGTGCAGTTCTGGGACAAGGCGGACGCGGGCGACCGCATTCTGGGGTCGTGCAAGCTGAACCTGTCGCCCGTGTTCGCGGACGGCCACCTGGACGTCATGCAGCCCGTGCACCGCCGCAACGGCAAGCTGCTCGGCCACGTGCGCCTGCACCTCTCGCTCCTCGTCGAGTCCGCCCCGCCCTCCCCGCCCCGCCCGCGGAGTAACTCCGCCTCCCGCTCCGCCTCCGCCGCCGCCGCCGCCGCGGGTGGGGGGCCGTCGGAATCTGCCGCCGCTTCCCCGTCTCCCGCGCGCCTGGGGCCTTCCGCTGCT